ATCAGCAGTATATATCTGAATATCAGACATCAAATTCATCATCGTCAATACACACGACTGGTTCCTGAAAGTTATCGCTTATCATCACAACACATTCTTTCCTCATATCTCTTCATTCCGAGTTTCCCACTTCAATAATTATTCTGCATTTATCTTTGTTTATATGGCAACTCATAACAAAGTCATTTAATACGCTTGTAATTAAGTGTAAAATGAACAATTGCAATTGTCCAAATTTGAATCGAACGAGAATTACGTGTAATCTCAAAAATTTAATGGAAAAGTATTACAGAGACTGTTGAATTCCAACCTGATTGAAACGCTGTTGGGTGATTTGAAGGATACGTATTTTATCAGCAGCTGGAGGTTGCGGCCGTTTCACTGCTCGCATAGGTTTCATCGCTTTCGATGGATTCGCTCTTTCTTGCACCTCACTACAGCCCAAACCTGCTCGTCCACTCCGCATTTCACTCACAATCTAAAAATTTTTTATTGACTCTTCTCAACGAGCGTTCATAATGCTCAAACGTTTCGGAAATTGGACATATTCGGAAATTCCATGACTAGTTCGAAATTCCGAAGCACATTTTTGGACAAGCTGAAATGAGAGGAAAGATGAAAGATGTAACGTACCGGTTCCTTGATACCACTCTGGGTTTTACCCAATCCACTGCCTTCCTTCCATCCCATTCCTTGCAACATTTTATAACCTTTATTCGTCACATCCAAAGCTTTCTGTTCAAACGGCTGTTGCTTCGCTTGTGTTACTCCACTTTGTAATACTACTGAATCGAGACCGGCAGCTGAAAATGTAAAAATGTATGAAAAGTGAAGATGCAACAATTTAAGGAATAAGTGGTTCTATAATATGAACCGATTAAGACTGTCTAGTGATAATGACACTAAAAGCAAAATGTCCAAAATATCCCGAACAGATGGAATTTTGATGTGTCTAATCCCGCTCACCGACGTATTCTCCACCTTGAATCCACTGACAGATCAATGAATAAAACTTAAAATCACATAACATTACATGCCGAATATTTTGCTCTTATTAACACTACCATCTGAATTTTGTTTAATAATATTAAGTAAAAATATCTGGCTAGTGATAAATCAGATAATTGAAGCACCGAAATAAATAATAAATGGTAACACCACAAATCAATAAAAATAATAAAAACGAACCGGACACCGGTTTCGCAGAACACTTCGCATAGATGGAACCGTCATTCTGCACACCTCCACTCGAAGAGGACGATGACGACGCACATGTGGAACGTTGATTCCGTTTGGAACGCATTGAAGCGCTGTTCAGTGATAACGATTTGTCAAGGTCATCCTACAATTGCTCGAAAATGAAGCCCAACAAGAATACAATCCAGCTACAACTAGGTACCAGAAACACAGCATGGTTTTCCGTTTTCAAGAACGCCAGACACTCTACGATTGAACTCACCCCAAGCAGTCCATATTGTGCTTTCATCAGCCGTAAATTCCGTCTTCTCAATGCTTCTGACGATCGCTTCTTCGTACTCTTCTGCACCGAAACATTTTCAGCAGTCTGTTGCTGCGCATACTGCGCATACGCCGCACTGAACAAGCCCGGTTCACATCCACTACACGTATTGTCACCGGAAATTACGACGATATTTCCATAAACCCGCACACTCATCNGATCGCTTCTTCGTACTCTTCTGCGCCAAAACATTTTCAGCAGTCTGTTGCTGCGCATACTGCGCATACGCAGCACTGAACAAGCCCGGTTCACATCCACTACACGT